GGGTGGCCTGCGGGAGCCGTGCTGGCTGGAGCCGGCGGGCGGGCGGGCAGGTGCGGTGGGCCAGTGCTGGGGCCACCGACAGCTCGGGCCTCCTTTGGCCGAGCACCTTTGTCAGCACCTCAGCAAGGTGACACTGTGCTGTGACCCTGCCCTAGCCCCTGGCCGGGATAGTAAGAGTGGACTAGTGATGTTGGGTGTGGCTCTGGAAGAGCTCCGATTTTCAGAAAATGTGGAAAACCCTGCACCTGCGAGACGGCTGTCACAGCTCTTCAGGGTGCTTAATGGCAGGCACTCAAACCCACCGGCCCGCGGTCTGTCCCTGCCCCCGGTGTGAAGATGAAGATGAAGACATGAACTTGCCGGTGAGAGCACAAGCGACAGGCAGGGAGCGCAGGGAGCCGAGCGGCGTGTGACCCACGGCTCCTCGGGGCTGCAGCGAACGGGGACACAGCAAGAGCACCTGTCCCTGCCCAGTCCAAAGCTTGCACTGGGCCGTGCCCTTTGGAGCTGCTTTTGCGGGCACAAGGAGAGGCATCTGCTTTTGGGTTTGGGCTCAAGAAGGCTCAACAGCTAACCTGATGTGAACCAGCCAAAGGCAAGAGGAGACAGGTATCTTATATGCTACATTAATCAGAAACCTCTACTTAATCAAATGCATTTCTGTTTCAATGGTTAAAAAATATTCATTCGCTCCTTCCAGCCAAATGCTCTGGAAATGCACTACATGTTTTCCCCAATATTTAAAATAAGTAATATGTTTGAAAAAATAGCTCACTGCTTAACGAGGGGCACAGATGCTCAGGCCTTCCCAGCACAGCACTACAGACTCACTGAGGAGCGAGGGGCCCAAGGGCTCCAGCTAGGCCAGGGCTTGAACCCATCCCACCTTTGCAACCTAGGGTAGCACCCTTACCACCATGATAAAGGAGCTGAGAGCTCCTGCTGCTGTGGGCCTCTTGAGGCTCCTCCATTGAAAGAGGAAGGCACCTCCCCACAAAAAGGGGAGAGACTGGGACCTGAACCTAGAACCTCAGCACCCACAAAGAGATGCCCAGCACTGTGCACCACAGGATCCAGGTGGCTCAGAGCCTCCCTTCTGGGCCCCTTGACTCTTTACCTGTGGACACACACTGGTTCCTCCCAAAATAAGTTGGTGATCTTTCACCTAATTAGGGGGGGTTGACCTGCAGTAACCCCATGTTGACCTCTCTGTGACCCCGCTTGCCCCCAAAATTGGGCTGTGACTTGAACCCTCTGTGCCCCCCATAGGCTGGGGTTGACCCTGCATTGGCCTCACAGCGCCCCCTGCTCCTGCCGGGACCCCGAGGTGCCAGCCCTCAGCCTCAGCCGGGCACCAGGGAAGGGGATATCATGCGATCATGAATGCGCTGCTCCAGCTGTCATGGGCTTGTGAACTCGAGGAGGGAGGAGCTGACCCCAAGGATGGAGCGAGGTCCTTCTTTGACTCCAGTCATGTCAGCAGCAAGAAGCCGTGGAAAGGCCATTTTAATTCTTCTCTACCGTCCAGATGAAAAATGTCTCCACGTACGAACCTTCATCACTAGGAATAATGAGCCCAGGAGGAAAAGACCCAAGAATGAAGGGGGAAGAGCTCAGGAAGAGGAAAAGACCCAAGAATAAGGAGGAAAGACCCAGAAGAAAAGAGGGAGACTGAAGACTAAGGGGAGAAAAGAGTGAGGAAGAAAAGGAGGGTGGGAAAGACCCAGCAAGGGGAAGGAAGCAGACCCCCGAGAAGCCCCCCACACCATGCAGAAAGGTGAACAGGTCAGAGGCAGAGCAAATGAAGAAAGAGGAAGCCCCCCCAACCCAATCCCCGCGCTCATGTGGACCCGGGCCCGGCGGCTCCAGCAAGCCATGTCCGGAGCAGCTGGAAGCAGA